ACTGGAGAGAACTAGTCACTTATTTATGCATCCAAGATCCATATGACCATAACTTAAGTATGCATCTTGTTACTTTTCCTCAGCTACCCTTGTTTCTAAAGCGTTTTCCATATCTCATTGAAAAGAAAGAAAACTGTAGATATGATTTTGAAAATTGCTGAAGCAGCACTTATTAAATCATGCACTTGGGACTTATTCGTGTTTGAAATCTGTCATTTTCTAAATTTTAATCCCACTGTTACAGGCATCACCCATTATCACCTGAAATTCACGACCACAAGCAAGGAAGACTGTCTGAACACATGGTTACAAGAGAATGATTTTCCTAGCAAAGACAGACATGTGAAAGCTTTCAGAACTTCTTTTCCAACTCTTGTGAGTTTTTAATGATTTGGATAGCGTGGGTAGTGGAAACAGATGCTATCGTCTCTACATTTTTGGCAGAGGATAAAGCAGCAAAGGCTAACATATTCATGCTGTTTGCAAACTGATGTATACCACAGATCATCTTTCCAAAATACATTTGGGTAGGACAGAAAATATTCAGTTCTTGACGATATAAAATTATACCATTAATGTCCAAATATATCATTACTTTTTTAAAAAGAAAATACCACCCCCACATCCTCAATGCATAATGTTTCCTGTCCTCAAATGGGTAAAGGATACATATCTGGGTAGTCATTTAGATTCTTTCCCCTCCCTTGAAAGAAAAATCAGGCTTCCCAAGTGCTTTAGGATCTTCAGATGGAAGATACTTTGTATGAGTGAATTCCATTATTTACTGCTACCACACAGCATTCAGTACATCCATAATTAAGGCTTCCTGCAGTCTGAAGACTATATTAAGAGCCAGTGCAAGCAGATGTAACTTCACTGACATCAGCAGAGTTGCACTTACTTACATCAGGCCTCAACATGATCTAAACACTGCTGGCTACAGTTTATACATTTTCTATTCTTACCAGAGAAACATTTGTAACTTAATAATAATTGTCTAGATCTGATCTGGGACTCAAGGCACACAAGCTACTCAAAGATCATAGGCTCGTAGAATAGAATCATAGAATAGTTAGGGTTGGAAAGGACCTTAAGATCATCTAGTTCCAACCCCCCTGCCATGGGCAGGGACACTTACCCAATTCCATGTCAGCTTTCCACTATCCAGGCCCTAAGGAAGTCAAAGCCTATCCCTTCCCCATGGATGAGTAATACAAAGCAATCACCCATCTTACTTTCACCTTAAGCTTCACCTCTCCTAAAGAAGCTTGGTTTGAAGCCTTAAAAATTTAACCTTTAAAGATCACAAAGCAATAAAGCAGTTAAGTGTTAAGGAGCGCTGAAAGGGTTTGAAGCATTCTATCTTCCCATATAATACAACACATTACACCACAGCCTCTGACACATATATGTATCCCTGTCCTTTGTGTTATCCCCTTTTAGCTAGTTGTAGGCTGTAAGACTGAGATGCATCATGCAGCATATTTAATACATCACATTTGTCATCCAATGACCTGAAAAATACTTCAGTTGCATTCCTGCAAGAGATTAAATTGCATTTTATGTGGTGAAAGAAGAGGAAGGCAATTCCAGAATACATGCCACATGCTATCATCTGAGAACTTAATTCTGTAATTCATTTTGCACTGGCAGATTACTGTGTGTGTGTCAGCCTTAGGGTCAGTAGGACTATATGGGTAAGTATGACCCAAAAAGGGAATTGGTTTCAGGATGAGATTTTCTACGCATTCCTATGGCACTGAGGCTCAAAAGAGGCACCAATTCCTATCAAGTAAGAGGCCACTCATTTTGGACTGACGATTACTTAAAATTGACAATAAAATGCAGGATATTTGGGGTGAGAGTGGTTCACAGATAGTTAGAAAAGAAGTTCTGACTCAAGATTCATTACCTCACCTTTGATCTGACCTTGATCTACTGAAGAGTACTCTGGAAAGCACAGGTCCTATTGCTATAATCAAGCTGATGTCACTGAGAACATCATCAGGGATACTTATGAGTAAATCATACTAGGGTATGTACTATGTTCAAGGCTGCATTGAACTGTACAAGAAACATGGGGGAGGAAATATTTTTCACATTGTAGAAAACAGAAGGAGACTAAAAGGGAATGTTGTTATTTTTCTATTAGCCATGTCCAGTAATAATTAAAAACAAGATACTTATTATCATCTCTTTTACAGTGTGGTGAAAATATTGCACTTTGTTTTGTATTTTGGTTTCTAAAAGTGACAATTTGATTTTTCTGATTTCTGTATTTTTAGCAAAGTAATTACATGAGCTTTTTTATAGCATCTTTTGAGAACAGTATGTCATGGGGTTTTGAAAAACAAATTTCAGGCAGTTTAAAACCAGACTTGCTTCACACCAGACTAATACATGAAACAGGTGGTGGTAGAAAAAAAAAATAAAAAATCAAGTAGGCAAAACACAAGTCTCAGATATATAATTTTTTTAGGTTTAAAACTCCCCTCTTTTAATCTCTAAGGCTATTTCATATACACTATAGCGTAAGAATTATTAGGCTAATCTATCATGGATCTAGGATCCTAGCCAGTTACAGTAAGAATCCTAAAATCCAGTTCAATGAATTTTACTAATAATTAAAGAAGCTGCTAAAGAACTACACTTAAAAACATAAACATGTCATTGCTAAAAAATGCTTGCAGAGAATTGCCAGAAAAAGACAATTATGTATTACAGTGAGGTGCTCAACTAAAATGGCTCAGCTTTCGGAATAAGCATTAAAGCAATATACAATATTTCCTTGTTTTCTCTCTAATAAGTAACAGTAGTTCAACAGTATAGAATGGTGGTAGAGTCTTCAAGCCCTCAGCTAGTCCCAGTTACAGCAGTTGCTCTGACAAACAGTGACTATGACCCGATGTGTTGTGGTCTTTAGAGAAAGCTGTTTTGGTAAGAGAACTGCCTAGAGAAGGTACAACTGCAATAGGGAAGATGGGGAAAATAAGATGAATTTTTTTTTTTTAAATTACTGTGTACCATATCTAATACTTCTTATTCCACCTGTACACTGGAGGCAATAAGCCCTTCCAGTAAACCTTTCCCCTTTCACATTTTTTATTCAAAGACTGTCAAGACAGATGACAGTAAATGCCATCTTTATTGAATTATGATCTATAGTACTTTACCAGAAATAAGCAAGTATTAATCAAAGTACAAAGGTTTGAAAAAGGTAGGGCTGTGAGAGCTTTGGGAAGAGAACAGCTTGGCAGGCATGCTCTCATTTTTGACAAAAATCAAAATAAAGAAACATTACAGGAGTTAGAAAACTTGCCAGATATCAAGTAGGTTTGGATGAAGCATCTTTCAGACTCCCTATAAATCTTCAGAGCATTCCATCTTTTGTTCTGCACCATGCCTATGTGCTTAACATGACAGTTTTCCTTGGTGAAAACATTATTTTATTTTTACACTTTCAATTCTTTTGTTTTCATTTTACCTAGTCACCAAACCTTTTCAATTACATATGGTTCTCCTTGGGCCCCTTAGTGGTCTCCGGTTTTATTTTTTCTGTGTGTCTTGATTTGTTGTTGTTTTTTTTTTTTTAGGGGCTTGGGTTGTTTTGCTTTGGGTTTTGTTTCGGGTTTTGGTTGGGTTTTTTTTTTGTAATCCTTTAAAAAGACTGCCTCTTCCTGTGGTCTTGCTGGCTTTTTGTCATCATAAATTCATGTTTCTGCAATTTGTTTTGGCCAAAGGACAAAATCCACTCTAGCCTCTTAGAGCTGCTTTCTTTGCACTGCAGGTTGGAGATGGGACACTGCAGCAAACCTGCACTCAGGGGCTCACAGTAGATCCAGAAACAGTCTGCAATTTTTCCCCTGCCTAGGAGGAGTTGTGAGCTAGTAAATAATTTGGTAAACCAAAAGTATATATTAGAGTTTGAATCCCTTAGTACACTCCAGCTCTGGAAAGCTGAAGCTATTACTTCTAACAATCATTACTATTTTTCTAATTGCCAAAGGCTATTTTCTGTAATATAATAGAAGAGCTGAGACAAACAGATATGTGGTGGAATACACTCACATACAACCTAGGTCGAGCCACGATGATCAGAAATATGCTAATGGGGCACTGCAGCACGCCTAGCGCCTTCACCAATCCCCATAAAACCAAACATGGCAAACAGTCCCAATTACCTCGTAGCACATCTACTGTTAGTGCCACAGAAGCAAAAAGACTGACCTTGCTATAGATACATGGGAGGACATGAGCACTCATTAGATGAAATACCTGTGAATGACCTTTTCTCATATTAACTTTCTTTTATGAGCATGCTTTAAACACTAAACAGCAGATAATCTTTTCATGCACTTGCATGCTGAATAGTCTGAATCAAAGACATCACTTTAGACATACCAGACGTTGAGGAGGAAACTCGGACTTAAAAATTGTTTGGTTCAAATTGAAGCCAAAAAATCTGTCCACATCTACCCTAGATAAAAGGCTTTTCTCTAGTGAAATCCCACTAGAAGTTACTCCAATAGCAATGCTCATTTAACAGTGCACTGTGCCATGCAGGTGGGACCTGATAGGAGCAACAGCACACTGGAACATAAGCCTTGCATAATCAATATTTATTGCTTACGAATATTAATTTTATTTATGTCTTCATAGCCAGCCCCATGCTCTACAAACCAGCATGGCAGGAAAGTAGTAAAAGTTTTCACTGGCTATATTCATCTTCTATTGTATAAAAACATCTCCAAACACCTAAATACATGCATTTATGATGATTTTTAAAATTAAATGGAACAAAATACCAACCAATTTATCACTTGACATAAAAGAAAACAAAACAGTGAGTGACTCCAGATGATGGATACACAAAAATGTCAACATGAGGCAAATTACAGTCTGAATGAACAGCTCACAGAGCCGATTTGCCCAACGTACATGATATTACTCCATAGTAAACTTGATGTGAGCTTGCTTACCAACTAATAAAAGTGACTTACCCTGCAAATACAGGTGGGCAAAATCAAGTGCAGTTTATGCAGAGGTCAGAGCAGCTGGGAGCTGCTAACTACTCGCAAAGTTACCCTGCAGTAACTCAGCAATGTGCTTGCATTCTGGACTCTGAAGTATAAGCAGCTCAAGGCACCACAAAGCCTCTCCACTTATTAACAACAGGCAGTGGCTTGTGACACTGGGTGGTTATTTACTATTAAGGCTGTTGTGTTTTTTTTTTGAGGGAGCTAGTATAAGACCTGAGGAAAACTTAATTTTATAGGACTCAAATTTTTGTATATACTTAATTTGACACCTTAATAGCATCTTAAACTTCTCTGTATCCTTTTTTACAGATGTACCACACTAATTATTATTCTCCTCTTTTCCCATGCATTATTCCATGCTATTTTTCATAAAGAAGAATATTGATTTACTTACTGTTCATTGTTTGTTGTTACTGGTAGCTTCCTTCCCCTAAGAGCACTTTTTGTGACATTTGTCTGGTATGTTGGCATTTAAAGAAAGTGTGGTTCTACTCTGCAAAGCACTTAACTACTTAAATTTGGTTCTGCTGCAATCAGTGGAGTAAAGTACTTGTGTAAATGCTTTGCTGAGCTAAGGCATAACTAAATATCATGAATTCCAAAAACCTAAATTTCCATTTTGTCTCTGAAAGCACAGTAGTTCTCTGAAAGGCCAAAATAAATCTTCTGTACATCCTACTACTGTGCATGATAAATATTTTTACTTTTCTTCATATATATGTAAATGAAGGAATATAAATATATAAATACATACCAAAAGATACAGATATTTAAGACTTAACACTGGCATGAAACAAAATATCTGGTGTTTTCTTTCTCACTTGCTCAACTATTCTTATTTTAATATAATTTTTGTAAAAATTAACATAGATATACACTATGAAAAACACCCAAACATTTTATTTATTAACACTTACTCTACCTTTTAAGTAGGTATTTTAAGTACTGTAACTACAATTTAGGCTATAAAACAATATTGGGTATCAAACCACCCAGACACTTTCTGTATGCTTCTCTCTCAGATGGCAACTCCTATCAGATCACCACCAGTTTTAAATTGTAAAGAATTTCTGTAGTATATCTATAGTTCCACTGTTAATTCTGGTTGACTTTTGCCAGACCTGTGCTAAGTGTAGAACAAATAAAAATTTGCATTATTTTTAAGTCATGCTTCTGCAGTTTTTAAGACAAATATTTCTTTCAGAAATTAGGTAACACCATTCTACCGGCAAGATTTGCAAAGCACACATGTTAATCTGTTCCATAAGGGTTTAGAATCTGTGATCAACCTTGGTTTCTTCCAGGACATTTTTATCTGTGGGAGGACAATGGGTCAAGCAGCAAAAGCTAAGCAGTTACTCCAATGTAAACTTATCAGTTATTTGCCATCTGCAGTTATTTGCATTCAAAACTAGAAGCATGGAAGACTAGAATCTAGTCCATGGATAACTTAAAAGATAATATACTTGGGCAATGTCATGTCAGGGCTGCAGCAGTGAAAAATGTAGAGGAAAGAAAAATAAAAATCCAACAATAAGATCTTGAATAAAACAGTTTGTAATGTCTATTTCTCCCTTTCTCCTCCTATTTCAATCCCAAGTTGTTTATTACTAAATACAGAGCACAGGAAATCTGATGCACAGTAATGTAAATTCAAGTTTACTGATGCACTGAAAAATATCTTATTGTTACCATGACCAGTGTCTTTCTGGATATAACAGAATTTATAGGATTCTAAAATAAAGCCCTAAATCCATTATACTTTTCATACAGAAAAGTAAAGACTGATTGCTAAGGACAACAGCAACAGCATTTTGGTGAAATACAGACCCCACTTGTCATTAGTGGTCAGAAAGTAAATTAGATCTCCCAATATATTTTTCTGTATACATTCTAAACAATCTTCTTGCTATTTGACCCATGTAATTTCAGAAAATAGGCTGAACACCGGTAAGTTTGACAAAAGCTGCTGTAAAACAGACCGCTCTACAGCTCTGTTTCTGATATATTCCTAGATTAAAATAGCTGGTAATTTACATCCAAAGATGTAAAATAAACAACTCTTGAGGCATTCAAGTTGGAAGTACAGCTCCTTCTGCAAAACTATGAATAACTTATTCACTGGCATCAACAGTAATTTCATCTAGATTGCAGTCTTTACACTGTACACACTGAAGGGATATTAAATACAACAGTATTAACTTCTACCTTTGTTATCAAGCAATACCTCTCACTCCTTGAAATTGAAAACAATAGCACAAATATAAAAGTAAAGAAAGAACAACATGACCAAAATTAACTGCAAATCCAGAGGATATGGATAACTGTTTGTGAGTCTATTGAAATGTTTAAATGAAAACCCCCATAAGCCTTAAAAATAGAGCTACATGGTAGCCCTACTTATAAAGCAAGAATGACACTTCTGATGCAAAAATATTAGACCACGCTGAGTGAAATATATTGCACACTTGTTCCAGGTTGGAGATCCATAAAGATTGCTTATTCTTTACCTTGTAAAGATACTTTTGAGAACTCAGATTAAAAGGGGGAAAATTGAGAAGGAGACAAACATCACATATTCAATATTTTACTATCAGTTGCTTGGTTTCGTTTATTGTTAATGCATATATACTTTGGTGCTTATAAAGAGAGTTCCAAGGAACACTAGGTGTTATTAGATTGATAACTAACTCATATCCCCAGCAGGTGGCTCATAAATACTTAAACATATGTAGATTAGGTGGGAGAAGACAGTCTTCATTTGTGGTTTTAGGTCATACTGGTATGATTTTCTCTTTCAAACAGAACTAAATAGATGTATCAGAAGGGGTAAAATTCTTAATGGAAGAAAACACAAATAGTTTCTATCCTGCTGGTAAGGTTAGAAATGTCACAGGTTGTTGTCATTGCCATGGAACAGAGCGTTCTTCATCATTTCAAAAGCCTTTTCATATTCACAGGTACTCAGATAAGTGACCGTTACCACGTGCAACAAAAGGACAAACAAATAGAATGTAGCTCATTCATTTTTGCCTCTCCTGTACACTTCTATTTTTTTTTAAGTTTGCAGTCATCTGTTAATTGTATGATGGGAGTGGATCACTCCTTTGCTCACTGAAAAGACACTTCTATGTGCACCAAGAAGTATAATGTCTTTTGGGAAGCTACTTTCTCCAAATTTCCATAAACTCTGTATTCATTTGGGTGCCTGGCACACTATTAATGCAGGCACAGTTCTGTCAGAAACTGAAGGCAGAATCAAAAGGAAGATTTGAATGAAAAAAAATAAAAATAGTCTTTGATGATGTTTCTCCACACTTTTATTTTTAAGTAAGACCAAAAAAAAAAAAAAAAAAGAGGCTAAAATTTAGCAAGTGAAACAGTCATATAATCAGCAAATTTATAACACTGACAAATTATATCAGTCTATCAATCATGAGTCATGATATGATCAAGGCAACTGACCTGATGTATCATTCAAAATACTTCAAAGAAAATTCATCATGTTCAGTAAATCACAGCTATTAAAATAAAAGAATTCCTAGCAAAATAACATTTTCAGACATCAAATATGATCTTAGTCATTTTTTGTGTACTATTTATGCAATATGCCTGATATGTGCATAGACATTCAAATAGCTTGAACAGGTAAAGCACAATGAGCTTTGTAATGTCCAGCATAAGACTGCAAACAATTCATCTCTCTGCACATCTGGTTACAAAATTATACAGCAGGGAAGTCAGTGGTGTGCATAGTTCATACCTATGGCTGGTGCTGCCTAAGGACAGACAAAAGCATCTCTAACTAGACAACTGGGTTCCTTTAGGCACTAGCAGCATGTCTTCATTTAGTTTGATTTCAGTAAGCGAGCTTTCAACAGTGACTGCAGTGCAAGGTTATAATTATATCAGGAGTGGAAAGACACTGAAGCCCGGATTCTGCAAAGACAGACATGTGCTTAGCTTTCTGCGCTGTAAGAAACCCCATTTATCTCCATGAAAACACTGCTCCCTTGTACGCAAATACATGCATACATGGGATGCAGGCTGGAATTTTATTTCAATCATTTAACTGTTCAAACTTGCCAATTTTGATCAAATTTTATCAGGCTACTAAAAATGAAAAATTGCTGTGACCCCTGGCTGAGACAAATGCTATGAACCCCTCATTGTTCTTGGCCCAGCAATAATTCTAGCCCAGAATGACAGTTTTCATATCACTAAAAAGGCAGGTCGATGGAGTGATATTCACATTGGCACAGATGGCCAGAGAAAGGCCTAGTGCATGGCAATTGAGGTTTGATATGATCAGCTGTTACCAGAAGCTCACACTGGAGCTTCCATGGAAGAGGACGCAGTCATAGACACAGAATAACCAATCTTTTAGGCCTATACCAAATGACAGAAGGAGCAGAGAAGTAGGCTGCGTAAAGGGACACACAATTTTAAGTCACACAGGATTCATCATTCCTACCCGGAATTGGTAGATGAGAGTATTTCACTAATGGAAGAAAACAGTCAAACAAAACAGGATAGGATAGGATAGGAGGTCATCAAGGAAGCAAACTGGCAACAGTCCTATTTTGTCTGTGCCAGGGCTCTGCTGTTGTTGTGACACTGAATTCACTTCAGGCTAACTAACATTCATGAGCCTGAAGTAACAATTACATCAGCCCCTTCCTGTATCCACCAGGGTCTACTGCAAACCCATCTCTTCAGGTTTCCTCCTTTACCCTAAGTGGGCTTTCTATACCACACCGCCTATTCTCCTTACTTTTTCTTTATGCAAATGCAAGTACCTGGGAGGCTCCCATGCATGGAGATCAAAAGGAGAATCCTGGGCATCAAAATGTTTATTGACAGAAGTAAGAAACAACAGCATGTTGCCTATAGCCCTATGGCTTATGATGCTTCCACCAGTTCAGAAAAGTGCTCACATTTTAAATAAAATATCCTGCCAGTATTCTGAATATCCTGCCAATCATGTTAATTCTTATTGCTGAGCTTCTGCCTACACCTTACCTTGCACACATGCTGCACAATGCACAAACACCATGCACATCCCATAG